TGTCCTGCTCACAGCCGGTCCCAGAGCCCTCCCTGCCCAAGCCTCCCTGGAAGCACTCATGGACTGATTGGCTTTGCTTTGCCCACAGTCGGACCATCCTCCAGAACGTGCTGGATACCGACCTAAGCAATGAGGCCTTCCCCTTCTCCACCCACAAGCTGGTGAGAGCTGCCGGGCACCAGGTAAGTACCAGCTGGCCACATCCCTGGGTCGTGGGTGGCAGCAATGTGCTGCAGGGGGCAAGCCAGGGGCTGGGGCCCAGGGACCCGGGGGCCCTTGGGCAGGTCCCTTTACCTCTCTGGGCTGGGTCCCTGCCGAGGAAGCCAAGGATAGCAGGGACCAGATTGCCCTGCCCGCAGACCGTCGGGAGCTTAGAGGGGACAGCTGGGTCAATGTCACAGCATTTTCCAGGCTCCGACCAGCACCTGGCACATGCCAGGGATGTGCCACCTGCCCAGCCACCTCTGCGTCCCCTCCTCAAGTGGCTCCCTGGAAATCGCAGGGCTGTGGACAGCTGAGCCCTTGTGCAGCTCCAGCCGGTCCCATGGCCTCTGGGAGGCAACGTGGTTTGTCATGGCCTCCTTGCTGCCCACCCTCACACCCGGCACTGTGGATAGAGGGAGGAGGAGACCTCAGGTGGGAGCACGGTGTCCCTGAAAAGTGCCCCACTGGCTCCAGAAAGTCCGGATTCTGGGGGCTGAAGTGGGTCCCTTCTGAGGCTGTGTTTGATACCCGACCTGGGCAGGGGGAGGTTTCTCCACACCCCCTGGCTGGGGTCCTGCTTCTGGCCTCGGGACAGCGTGGGCTCCTCTGGGCTTTAGTTCCCTGGCTGGGAGACAGCACTATCCCTGCTTTGACATCTCACGGTGGAAGGAGGCATGGACCGGTGAGATAATGTCAACTCCTGTGTGTCGGGGCTTCCTGGGTCCCAGCTGCTGTTCTGAGCACGTCACACGTGGGTGTCCCTGTGTCAATCTCATGACGGCAGGGAAGGTCTGCCGCGGGGCCCTCCGCCCCAGCTCAGCTGACGTTTGGGTTTAGGTGATCACTTGGTGTGGGGGCCCCCTGCCATAGGCAGGGGGCTGTGCGGCCTTCCCAGCCTCTGCCTGCTGGATGCCAGCAGCACCTGCAATCGTGACAGCCGCAAATGTGTCCAGACAGGGCCAGGTGTCCCCGGCTTGTGCGCAGGCAGCAGGGATAGCTAGGCAGGCGGGGCCCTCCAGGACTCATGGTCCTGGGGACGTTCCACCATAGAATGAATGTTGCCCTGGACCGAGCTCAGAGGGGCTGGGTGGACGAGATTGCTCATGAAACCTAAAAGTACCCCAATACGAAGGAACGCAAACACCCAGAGTTTATTTATAAATGATGCATGTATTCTTATATGCTTAAGCTTTAGTCACCTTCAAGTTTCTCTCTGATGCGATACACCCATCGAGACGCTGTCGCCCCTGCTCCAAAAAGCTTTTGAACTTGTTGGTTTTGATGCCTTTTCGACTTCTGCCATTTTTTGTTTCGCTCCTTCCACATCAGCAAAAATTTCCCCTTGAGGACTTCTTTCATCCAGGGAAACAAAATAAAGTGGCTGGGGCAAGATGGAGTAAATAGGGAGGGTAGGGCACGGGGTCGTGCCATCTTGGGCCAAAAATTGCTGAACACTCAGTGTGGTATAGGCAGGTGTGCTTGCAAATCACCCGTCACGAAATAGGCAAGCACACTGAAAGAATCTCAAAAAAGCCGGGCTCAGTGGCTCAGCCTGTAGTCCCGCGCTTTGGGAGGCTGAGGTGAGGAGATTGCCTGAGCCCGCGGGTTCGAGACCCGCCTGGGCA